GGCGTCCAGCGGCGCGCTCGTGCCCACCCTCACCGCGATCTCCCTCAGGAAAATTTCCGGCGGCTCATCGTTGGCGGGCTCGATGACGATCGGAAAGAAGAGCTCCTCGGAGAAGTTGACGCCATCTGAGCACCTGAAGCTGAAGCGGTCCTCCGCCGGCTCCACGCCTCTGTGGACGCTCTGCACATAGAAGATATCACCTGCCCGGATGTCGCCGACGGTGAAAGCGCTGACGGCCACGCCCGACCGAGATTTTTCGGAACCGGGCGCGGGCGAGATGTTCTCCACGTAGCCCGTCTTTGGTTGCACGTTGATGGTGCACAAGATGTCTTCCGCGGGGGTGTCGGGGTCATCGACATTCAAGTGCTGAGGACCGATGGCGTTTTTGTCCCCTTCCCGGACGCTGAAGCGCACCCCGACGCCGACATCGGGGGCGCGGCTGTCCACGGGGAGCACGGTGACGCGCACGTGGACCCGGCGGACCCGCTTCCCACCCGCCGTCCAGTCATCTGACACGTCGGCGAGAGTCAGATTGAAGCTGTCCCGGCGAGAGGTCGGCCCGATCTCCCCGCCGGTGTGGGCGTAGACCACCGCGCCGCTCGTCACGTCCGCCTGCGTGAACCCGCCGGCGGGCTGCCCTTTCACTAAGATCTCGCCGACGGCCGGCGGGTCTCCGAGGATGAAAGTCAGCTGCGGATCGTCCGCGTCGTCGCGGCGGCCTCGGAGGACGTCGGAGGCGATCTGCGCCGCGCCGTTTTCCAGAACGTCCACGCGAGCGCCAACCGTCCCGTCGGGGAGGCCGGGAATCGGGGCTTCGTCATCAACTGGCCTCACGCGGACTTTGACCGTCACGCCGACCACGTGAACGCCGTCGCTGACGTCCAGGTGGAACTCGTCGCCGTCCATCTCCTCGCCACCGTGGCTGTATGAAATCCTGCCTTCCGCGAGGTCCCGCGGCCCGAACGTGGCTTTTTGCGGCAAGTCGGCAAATGCTGCCCGGATGGTTCCGTGTTTGGGCAGCTGAGCGAGCCGGAAGGTCAGGCTTTGACTCTCCGTGTCGGCATCGACGGCGTCGAGCTCGGCAAGGGTGACGATGTGCGCGCCGCCCTCAAACACCGCAAAACCCGCGTTGGTGATTTGTGGTGGCTTGTTGTTAATTGGCCGGAGGTAGATCGTGAACACCCCCTCCGCGCGGTTTCCCGCCGCGTCCTCCACGCCATAGCAAAACTGCACCACGCGCAACGTGATGCCCAGCACCCTGGCGGGCGGGCCGTACGCGATCTTGCGCTGATTCACTTGAGCTTGAGTGAACTCACTCACTTTGACGTCAGGGCGGTCCGTCAGAACCAAAGAACCACGTCCATCTCCTCGCCACCGTGGCTGTATGAAATCCTGCCTTCCGCGAGGTCCCGCGGCCCGAACGTGGCTTTTTGCGGCAAGTCGGCAAATGCTGCCCGGATGGTTCCGTGTTTGGGCAGCTGAGCGAGCCGGAAGGTCAGGCTTTGACTCTCCGTGTCGGCATCGACGGCGTCGAGCTCGGCAAGGGTGACGATGTGCGCGCCGCCCTCAAACACCGCAAAACCCGCGTTGGTGATTTGTGGTGGCTTGTTGTTAATTGGCCGGAGGTAGATCGTGAACACCCCCTCCGCGCGGTTTCCCGCCGCGTCCTCCACGCCATAGCAAAACTGCACCACGCGCAACGTGATGCCCAGCACCCTGGCGGGCGGGCCGTACGCGATCTTGCGCTGATTCACTTGAGCTTGAGTGAACTCACTCACTTTGACGTCAGGGCGGTCCGTCAGAACCAAAGAACCAAAGATGACCGGGTGGTTTTCGTCGGTGTCCGTTGGGGGTCGCAACAGCGTGTATTTGAGGTCGCGGTCTTCAGAGTCCCGATCGGTGTAGCGCAGGACTTCTTTGCTGAACGGAGTCAGCTTGAACTCCTCCACTGTCATCAGCAGGCTGGTGCCGGGGTGCAGCTCAGGCGGGACGTTGTCGAGGGGCAACACGCGGATCTCAAAAGTAGCCCTGCCGGACTCATTGGGGGGGTCGTTGTCGTCCCGGACCGTGAAGACAAAGTGGTCCGTGACGGTATCGATGTTCTGAGGCCCCACGTGCTTGTAAAACAGCTTCCCTTCCGTGATGTCCTTCTGGAGCCACTCCCGCACCTCCTTCTCATAGACCTCGTCCTCCGAGTCGAATTTCCACGAGGACGGGTCCACCGGGGCGTCCGACTGCCTCAGCAGCAAGGCGCCAACGGCGGAATACGGCGAGACCACGGTGAATTGAATCGCCGAGTCGTCCGAGTCGACGTCGGCAGCGCCGAGCGCCAGCGGTGACACGGGCGTCATCCGGCGCTCGAACAGGACCAGGCCGGCGTTGACGCTGACGACGGGCGGCTCGTCGTCCGTGGGCACCACGGTGATGGGGAAGAGGAACTCCGCGCGGTGTTCGCCGTCCGTCATCTTCAACACAATGTTGTCACTGTGCGTGTCGCTGCCGTCGTGCCGGTACACCACCGCGCCAGCCGCCAGGTCGGCGGCGGTGAACCTGTCGCCGCGGGACCCCCGCACCAGCAGGATGCCGTGGCGCAACCCGTCAACCGCCGCCATGCGCACCGCCTCCAGGTCGTCCTCGTCGCCGATCTCCAGGTTCTGACCTGTAACCAGTGGACGGGACTGGCCCTCGTACAGCAGCTGACCGGCGTTGCGGGTCACGACCGGCGCCAGCCAGTTCATGGGCTTCACTACGATCGTGAATGCGAAGGGGTCCGACGCGGCCCCCTCCGGGTCCACCGCTTCAAACTCCAACTGGAAGATTCGCTCGGTGTCGGCATCCAGTGAGGGCGGCTTGTAGGCGATCTTGAGGTCCCGCAGGTCCCGCTGGTAGAAGGAGGTGATGGGCAGGTTCTGGTCGTCGGTGCTGACGATGTAGCCCTCCTCGTAAGACAGCGGCAAGGTGACGTTGAACGCCAAGTCCCTCGGGTCCGCCTCGGCGTCATCCGCCGCAAGCATTTCAGGTGTCAGCGCCGTCAAGGCAAACTGGCTCACCTCCATCATCATGGTGGCCACCAAACTGGGCCTGGGGGCCGCGTTCTCCCGGCCCTGGCGAATTTGCACCGTCAGGTGGAAATGCTCCCGCTTCACCAGGTTGCCTTCTCGGTCCCGGAGCTCCAGTACCATGGGGATGTGGTCCCGGTTGGGCGACGCCCCCCGGAAGGTGTGCTCGTAGCGGATGTCGGCCCGGGTGAGCTGGTCGCAGTCCATCGTCTGGGACAGCTTGCCGCCATCCAGCAGTCGGCCGTAGCGCGGCAGGGCGCTCTTGCCCGTCAACGGCATCGCCCGGCACTCGTAGCCCTCCCGGTCGTAGGTGAAGTCCAAGATCTCGCTGTCCACGGCATCGCTTGTGCCCCTCAGGTGGGTGACGGTCAGCGGCATGTTCTTGGTGAGCACCTCCAGCGGCGTAAAGTCCACTTGCACCTCGATCACGAAGGGGATGACGACCGTCTCCGCGCGAGCATCGTAGCGCAGCTGCAGCCGCACCCGATCCAGCGCCGGACTCCTGGCCCCGTAGTGGGTGTAGGTGACATCCCCGGGGCCGAAGTTGCACGGGAACTTCTCGGGCGAGAGGCGGCCGGGGCGTCGGGCGAGCGGGTCGTTGTCCAGAACCGTCAGGCTGCAGCGATCGCCCGGTCGCGTCTGCACCACCAGGTCGTCGACCGGGTCCACGAACGCGGCCCGGCCCAGCGGCACGCGGATGCGGTTGTTGGCCACCAGGATGGCGTCCTCCGGGAGCTCGGAGCGCAGCGCGGAAAGCGGCGGCTGCGCGTAAAGCCGCGAGTGAGCGCGAAGCCGCGGCTGCGCGTAAAGCTCAACGCCGGCTGCTGAGAGGGAGAGGATGAGAAGCGCGCACAACATGTCAGCAGAGGACAAAAAAAACTACACACTTGAGGGCGGTGGAGGGAAGTGGGGGGGGGGGCCTCCAGGTGTGCGTCCACGCCGACTGATTTCCCGGCACTCTCAGTTTGCGAGCGGCGCGCCCCACTTTTTAACTTGAGGCGTTCGGGATTCGGGAGAGGTGGGGGCGCGGGGTGGAAGAGGGAGGGTGTGCCTGCCCCCTCCCGTGCAAGCATTGGAAGGACACGGAGGGCCTCCTCGGCTGCCTATTGGCCAAGCACAGATGTCACTCAGAAACAGGAGGCGCGGTCGAGCCCTTCTCAAAGACAACGTTACGCTCATCATTGTCAATCAAAACGGAATCTAGCACATCTGGTGAAAATGTACTATCATTTTAAAAAAAATGTACATCTTGAAGAGGACTGGAACATTTTTTCATTCTTGAAAAAAGTACATGAACATGTCAGTGCAGAGAGCAAAATATTTCTTCATGTATCATAAAGAATTCAATCAGCACCGCTGTACAATACGCGCAAAACAAAGCACTGGACTTACAACTCCTCACCTGGTTTAGAAGATGTGGCGAACAGAAACGGAAAGTGGTTTTGCTGAGCAATCCTGCCACCGAATGGTAGTGTGTTGTATGACATGAATAAATGAATTTGGGGAAGGTGCACCCAGAAAAGCTAGGTGGCGCTCAGGTTATCAGACGTTAGCTAATTGACATGAGCAATTTGCTCAGAGCAAAGCATAGTCGATAGTTTGTTTTTGTTTGTATCCATTTATTTATATCCACTCAAATAACTCCACATCTTTTTTTTTTTTTTTTTAGCTTGCCTTCAACCCGCGTCCTGTTTCTTCAAGAAGAAGCCATCCCATCTGACCAATGAAACCAACTTGGCACTCAAAATAGGGGCAGCCGCACAATGGAAAGCCGTCGGCGCGTTTGATATCCTCGGGATCCTGCCTCCCGCCCTCACATGTGGATTTTGGCCTTTTTTTACTGCCACTTCTCCCTAGGCACCAAAAATTGTACTTGACTTGAGATCCATGCACCGAAACATTCTTTGGCCTCACTCATCGACTGTTACCGGTGGGGCAGAACCGCACTAACTGACAACTGCAGTGGCAGTACTTTGGCCTACGAGTAGGACAACGACATTCTACGAGTGAGCATTTTGGGGGCCGTTTGTAGGTAAATGAGTTGTTTTTCTTGGGCGCTAAAATCGTCGTCTTAGTGAGGACAAAGAAGTGCATGAGCCTTGCGGGTCGATATGGAGGATATGGAATAAACCATGCTCAAAGACAGTCCGCGGGGCCAGTTCCATCTTAAGAGGCGGCGCCCCCCTGTGGAGGAAGGTACAAATGGGGGGGGGGGGGGAAAAAAAAAAAAAAAAAAGAAGACCCGCCTTCTGTCGTCTTGCAATTCGGTCTTTAGGTTGCGCCAGTGTCTTCAGCGACTGGCTAGTGGCTCTTGCTGGGCTGGTGCAGCTTCCAGGCTCCCGTCAGGTAGCGCAGGCGGATAAAGATCAGGTCTCGACCCATCTGGAGCCAGCTCCAGAACGGAACCAGCTTGGAGCCTGAGGATGCGCACAAACATGCTCAATTCTGGTCTCCACCCCCTTTGCCTTGGAAGGCAAATTTTACCCAGTCTAACTGTTATCCGTCAGAGGTAGCCATTACGGAACTGGGGCAGGACTTTTTAATTTTCCTTTTCACACTTTTGATACACTTGACTTTCATGCAACGGGAGGTAAAAGAAAAGAAGAAAGAGACTTGTCACGTTACCTTCTATCTCAGTCCAGTTGACGGCCACTTCTGCGATGGGGATGTTGAAGCACTGCGCGATGTACAAGAGCTCCACGTCAAAAGCCCTACGAAGAACGCGTCCAAACTTTACACCAATCATTGTTGGCAGTTTTTTAAAAAATATATTTCAGTAATATGAAACATCCGTTTTAGGTAATAAAAACTTTTTTTTTTTTTTTAGATGAACCCT